TGAAAATGAGATCTAGAAAATAATCCCACCATGGTAGAATTTAAATAATTATTAGGTTAAAAATCAAGGAAGTAATATTTTCGGATAAAAATAAAAAACTGGTTATTGTAAAAATTTATGGGTGTTCAAATTTTTTTTCATCTTCTTCAATTCATCCTCAAGTTCCATCTTATCATTAACAAAATAGAGGAGAAGGCTGATAAATGAAGAAAAATGGTTGAAAAGAAGAAGGGACAGAGCAGAGAGGCTAGGATTTTAAGGGGTCGTTTGGTAGCTGGTTTGGAGGTGAATTACATTTCTGTCTATTGCACTCTCTAAAGAAGAAAAGAACTTGTGAGTTCTAACTTATATTCCTATTTAACACAAAATATGTATTGATTTACACTCTGGTAAATTTGGAGCTAGTAAGTATTACTTATGAATTACTATAATGAATCATTTGCGTCTCAATACCCGTTTGGCCATAGATTTGCCAAGTAATATTTGTGGGGAAATTTGGCAAATAGTGTTTGTCCATATAATTTGCTATTATTTGATAAATATTTTTGGCAAATATCTCAAATTCCCAAATACTAGTTTTTCCTAGTATTTGAGCCAAATCTCATTATTTGGGATCTTTTAAAAATTGAAATTTTATACCAAACTTTTATCTTTTATAAAAACACCCTCTATAGTAGTTGTTTGCGTTGTATTTCATAATTTTTTTACGTGAACACCAAAATCGTGATGAAATATTCGGTGAATATGAAAGTGATGATATGGTTGTTGAAAAAAATGATGAACAATCGGCTCAAGGTAACAAAGTCATGTGCTTTGTCTACTTCACGATGTATGTAATGATGCTTGTTGCACTCACTCCAAACTACCACATTGCTCCAGTGTCATGGACACTACTTGTTATTTGTTGCAACGAAGATCCAATTGACTTGTAATACAAACGTATGGTTAGTTTTGATAGTTTTTACACTTATGGGTATAAATCATACTTTTCTAAAAATGTGAAATATGTTTTCTAAATACTATGGTCAAACACATGGTGAAATTTCACCCAAATAATATTTGCCATAGTAGGCCTAATAGAAGGTAAAGTTACAGGAAATAGTATTTTCCTTTCCTACTTTGACCATGGATTTAGATAGTAAGCTGCTGAAATGATCCAATACTGTGCTGCATTTTCTCTTAGAGACCTAACTTTTGCTCTTAACATTTGATTCTATTACTGATTTTCCAGCTTTTGTGTGAGAGTACTGAAGTTCTTTGTCAACTTTCACAAATTAGCTTAACTACGATTTCTTGTTGAGTTTGGATCGAGTATTCTTTTGGCATATATAGTGCATTATTTCGGGTTCAGTATTTTCGAGGTCAGATAGTTTTATGTCTATCAGTTCCTCTAACTTGATTGTTTGTCTTCCTTCCGTTGAATAAATTGGTTGATTTCAAGAAAATGGTGTTAAAAATTATTTTGATCTTTAGACAATATTATGTATTCTGTTTTGATTGTTCAATTCATGTTAGAGCAATATTTTGATCTACCTATGCAATATAATTAGCCTCGAACAGCAGTTAAATTCCCCAGTTTTAGAACATGTTATTAAAATGTAAAAGCCTTTTGTACTAGCAATGCCTAGTACACAAAGACTCGTTCAGAAACTAGTTCAACATTAATTTTCCTGTAGACAACTTATTAGTATCTTATTATGATTTGATTTAGCACATGCAGTAGGCAGAGACTAGACAAGAGTTTTTTTTTCTATCTGTTTGGGCATATTATGAAATATTAAGAAATGTGGATACTTAGATGTATTTGCAAGGATGCTTTCATTCTGTTACAGTCAATAACAGTGTGAAATAACAGAGAAAAGAATAGAAGAAACCTTATTTCATGTGCATAAGTCATCAGTCTTGGGATTTGGAAATATAAGGTTTTGCAACCAAATACAAATCATTCTTCCTCCCTACTGTTGCACCAAAAGTCTCTGTCATGTCAAGGTTACTTGCTTCAATTCCATCAGGGAGTTTCCAGTCGAAATGAAATAGTAATTTGGCAAGTGGAAGTTCAACATTCGCAATTCCAAATAATGTCCCTGGACATATCCTTCTGCCACCTCCAAATGGTATGTACTCAAGATTAGTCCCAATGAAATCCAAGTCTGAATCTTGGAATCTTTCTGGTTCAAAGCATTCAGCATTTTTCCAGTGCTCTGGATGTCTACCTATTGCCCATGCATTGATGATGACTTTGGTTTTGGCAGGTATTTCATAGCCACCAATATCACATTTTTCTATAGCTTCTCTTGGTAGTAACAACGGTGCTGGTGGATGCATTCGTAGTGTCTCTTTGATAACCAATTTCATATAATCTAGCTTTTGAATTTCCGATTCTGTAATTTTACTTTTCCCTTTGAAAACCCGTCTCACCTCAGCTTGTGCTTTTTCCATCACTTGTGGATTCTTCATCATTTCTGAAATAGCCCACTCTAAAACTGTGGATGATGTGTCTGTTCCCCCTATGAAGATTTCCTGAATGTGTACAGCCATATGATAAACTTTTAGTTCAAATGAATTGAGGTGATGTTAGTCACTCAGCAGTTATTTAGAATTAGGCAAAATGATAAAAACATTTTCTCTATGCTCTATGATAAGTAGGCAACATATAGATGCATCAATATAATAATTTTGACATATCAAGCATTCAATTGTAAAGTAATAGTCCTCATGTATGATTTCCTTCTAGTGAGCAGATATTTTTCTGTGTGATTTGAGTAGAGACAAACATAATATGATGTTCCAAAAAAAGTTTTTTGAAAACTAAAGCACTTCTTGTTTTAGAAAAGGGGATTATAAGGTTGAAAGAGCATACCAAAATGACAGATTTGAGAGTGTTTCTTGATATGGGGATTTCTAAATCACCACTTTCTTGAACCCTAAGTAAAACATCAACCAAATCTTCCTTATACAACATGTCTCTCTTATTTGCCTTGTGCTCTTGTATTATATCCTCAAAGATTTTATCAACATTTTGGTGTACTTTCTCAAGTGCAGACCTCACTCCACTTAATGAGTGGAAAATTTTCAAGGAAGGAAATAAATCTGGTATATCAAAACCTCCTGATAGCTCTGTAATTGTTTTCATAGCTTTAATAAACTCATCTTTGTGTTTGCATTTCTTACCAAAGGCTGCCCTGGCAGTTATGTTATTCGTCATCGAGAATAGCATTTCACTAATATCAATAGGAACTTGTGGCTGTATAAATGAAATTGCTTCAATAAGATTCTCAACTTCCTCTTCCCTGATTGACTCAAATGATTGAACGCGCTTTGCACTTAAAAGCTCCAAGACACATACTTTTCTAAGCTGTCTCCAATTAGCCCCATAAGGAGAGAATGAAAGGGTGGGGCTGTTGTTGCTTAGAATCTGTACAGAAAGAAGTTGTGGCCTATTAGCAAAGATTATGTCATGAGTCTTCAGTACCTCTTTTGCCACTTGTGGTGATGATACTATAACAGCAGAAACTTCACCAAGTTGTAGGTGCATCATGGGACCATATTTGTTTGACAAATTCTTCAAAGTATGGTGAGGCAATGAATTAGATAACTGATGCAAATTCCCAATAAGTGGAAGTTTTCTAGGACCTGGAGGGAGTTTATACTGAATCTTGGATTTTTTCCATAGCTTCAGAGCTATGGCTACAAAGAGAAGGAAGGCAATAAGCATAGGAAAATTGGAGTGTTGAATCTCCATTATCATAGTAGAAGATCTGAAATCTAGAGTATCAGCTACCCCTTTTTGCTGTAGAGTTGAACTCTGTTTTCTTTATATTCTTTTTTTCTCCATTGAAAAATCTTCTGATTGGACCGTTTATCTCTTAATTTATCACAAAAACTCCATGTACACACATCATTTCTTTATCTGCCGTTCACAAAAAGTGTTGACCAGAACTATAATTTTTTTTGTCCCTTTTAACAAGAAGTATTGCAAATTACTATACTCCCTCCGTTTCAAAAACAATGACATCCTTTCCTTTTTAGTTTGTTTAAAAAAAAATGACCTATTTTTTTTTTGGTAACATTTTAATTTCAGTTTTCCACGTGGCATATTTAAGACCACAAGATTAAAGGATAATTTTGTACATTTGACATAACTTTAATTTAGGATCACAAGATTAAAAAATCTTCTTTATTTACTTAACCTCTATGCTAAGTCAAACCAGGTCACTTTTCGTGAAAAGGAGGGAACAGTTAACAGTTGTATATATTTTTAATTGGTTAAATGGCTTACAGAAACAAGAATTGAGGAATCTTTTGTAATGATTAATGCAAAAGAGGACCTTTCAAGTTTCAAATGGCATACTATAGTGCGTATTAAAAAGAAAAAACTCTCCTAATACATGTAATAGAACAGATCTTGAAAATGAATGTCTCTACATAGCCCAGTGCAACTTAATTATTCGATTAACATTGATTTTGTCAGAATGCAGTCCACCAAGGACGACGCATGATTTGATATATGACCAAAATGGGGTCTCTTTATACCAAAAATAGCATAATCTTGGCTTTTTACGTAACTTAATTCCCATTGAGGGCGTTTGGTTATGGATTAAAGCTTTTCTAAAAACAAAGTGATTTTTAATTTATGTACTTACATATTTTTTAAAGAAATATATCAGGCTCACAAGTCCCTAATTACTTGTTCACTTTTGAATTGACACACCTATTAAAAAAACAATTAATGACATAGTGAGTTTATCATTTTATCCCTATTAATTATGAAGTGGATGAAAAATTCTACATTTTTAAAAATAATTAATCATTTAATTGAGGATATAATAGGTAAAAAGAATTTGTCCTCTTTGATTTGTCAAAATAAATAAATAATTAGGGACAACTATAAAAGAAAAAGTGGACAAGTAATTAATTAGAGATGGTGTTTGAACACATAGCCTTATTTTTCTCATTTATTTGATGTTTTAGGATGTTATATATGACTGGCGGCCGAGGTTATTGAACAAATGCACCAGTCAAACCTAATTACTGAGGACCCGTACACGTGGCGAGTCGTTAGTTACCGGTACAAATTCTTCTAACTCCACCTACCCCCAACGCCACCCCATTCAGCAGGCAGCTGGCATAGCCCGCCGCCGCCAAAAAGCCCACTACTGTATCGGAGTTTTGCGTGCATTTGCTTGCTCAAACCTGAGCAACCATGGCTGCTTTGTGTGGCAATAGTATTTGGACTCCTCAAGCTCGAAATTGTTTTCAGCGGGGAATAACTAGTTTTAATTCGTTAAAGTTTTTACCTTTTCAAGTTAATCGTTGTAAGAGATTGTGGAGTAGGTCATTGAAGTGCAGGGTTTTGGGGGAAACGGACGATGTGGGTTTTGAAGTGAGTAGTGCCATAAAAGACGATCTATTTGTTGGGTTTTTCAGAGAAGCATGGCCTTACTTTCTTGCACATCGAGGAAGCACGTTTGTTGTTTTAATCTCAGCTGAAATTGTTGATAGCCCTCATTTGGATCATCTTCTCATGGCATGTTCCCATTTTATTGTATTCCTTTCTGTTTTCTTGTTATTAATTGGCAGAGATGTTGTCTTTTGTCTTTAGATAATCTTTTCTGCTAAATTATTGCAGGATATCTCCCTCCTTCATGGTCTGGGAATCAAATTTGTTCTTGTACCAGGAACTCATGTTCAGATTGACCGGCTTCTGACTGAAAGGGGTGAGTGAAATTCTGATATATTCTATTTTTATGATATTTCTTGTTAATGGACAATGGAAATGTTTTTTTCTCTATTTCTGATACTGATAGCAGGTATTTTTTAATATTACTGTTTGAAATAAATATGTTATTCCTTTTAGCATCATTTAGATACCTTTTATATCGGAATTTATGATTTCTAAACTGAAGGTTCTCTTTTGTTGGGAATTTCAGTTTTCATTCTCATTGTCTCAGATTGATTTTCTTTTTCTAAAGATTCTTAATAAAGTAGTGTTGATTAGGAAAAGTGGGGTTAATTATATATGCACTTCTGTTTCTCCTTAAGGCGATGATATATGCATCATTTTTATTTCAGAATACATAAAAGTTGTAAAGGAATTCTACAGCTTTAATGTTAAACGGCATCTACTTTTATTTTTTACTACTGTATCTTCTTTTCTTTCATTTCCAAATACTGATGTTATTTATCTTCTTACAAGATTATTCTAAGAAGCAAGCGATTTTGTTACTTCTTTTTAACAGGAAGTGAGGCCAAGTATGTAGGCCGCTACAGAATTACAGACCCTGATTCACTCGAGGCAGCTATGGATACATCTGGAAGAATTCGTCTCATGATAGAGGCGAAGTTGTCACCTGGCCCTTCATTGACTGGTGTCCGCCGACATGGAGATAATAGTCGCTGGCATGATAGTGTTGGTGTTGCCAGTGGTAATTTTCTATCAGCGAAGGTGCAAATTTGTCACCCACTGCCTGTTCATCTGTTCATTTTTGCTTTCTTTCCAAAATCTACATAAAGTGCCACCTACTCGCTTTACTAGATGTATAATCATTTTGGAGGTTTAAGTTTTATCATATATCTTCCATTGTAATGGTGATTTCATTTCAATTTACTGGCAGAAAAGAGGAGTTGTCGAAGGAATTGATTATGCTTCAACTGGTGAAGTAAAGAAGGTAGATGTTTCTCGAATTCGCGAGAGGCTTGATCAGGATTCCATAGTGCTATTGAGCAATCTTGGTTATTCCAGCTCTGGAGAAGTATTAAACTGCAAGTATGCTATATGACTTTTGATAGGTATTTTTGTTGTGGATTTGCATAAACTGGTGCTGCATCATGTTTACATAATTTGTTACCTGCAAACAATAAATGCAGTCCAGGCAGCTAGATACTAAAGCTTAGTGATATGCTTCCAGCATCGATTTCAATCAAACTCGTATTTGACATGTCTGTGCTACTCTTAACTTATCTAAAATCACTTTGTTACTGTTTAGCTGTTTGACAAGTACTCAAGGGATTTTGTGAAACGCATTCAATTGTAAGTTTCACACCTTAAAATTTAATATTAAAATCTCTGAAGATCAACGTATATTTAGATACAATTAAAGAAATCTAGAAAATTCACAAGGAAAGTACATTCTTAACCCTCTGCTCTATGTTTTATTCCTTCTATTTAAGTTAGTAGTCTTTTCCCATCTTTGAATACGTATAGGACAAATAAACTTTCATCTATATGAAGGGTGGCATTGATGGTATTCATTTCATTGAAGGTTAACTTATTTGATGACTTCAACATACTACAAAAATGCACTTGATAAGAGAAAAAGAACTTACTACGGTATGCTTGTCTGAAGCCGCATCTGATCAGTAGTCAGCTTGATGTCGCTTCAACTCATGCATCATTCACTTCTATCCTGTAGAGAGATCAGATGATTCATTATGCCATTGGGAGATGGTTTTTAGGTTTATATTGAATGTGTAGATGGCAATTGCTAGTTGATCAGGCTAAATAGTTTTCAGTTTATAATTTAAACTTTGACACGTGCTCTGTTGTTCATGCAACTGTAGCTTCTCTTACCTTTTTTATTTTGCTTTGAGTTGTTAAGACTGATGATATGATCCGTTCAATTGAAGCACATATGAGGTTGCAACAGCTTGTGCCTTGGCTCTAGGAGCAGAAAAACTAATTTGTATCATAGACGGCCCAATTCTTGATGAGTCTAGCCGTCTCATTCGTTTCTTAACTCTTCAAGATGCTGATATGCTGGTCCGCAGACGAGCTGAGCAAAGTGAGACTGCTGCTAATTATGTAAAAGCTGTTAGTCAGGAGGACTTCAATCGTTTAGGTTACCATGGTTCCAATGGATCGCTCCCTTCCCAAAATGGTGATGTTTATAGCCAAAGATACAATCCCACATTTCAGAATGGCATTGGTTTTGACAATGGAAATGGGCTTTGGTCTAGTGAACAAGGTTTTGCAATTGGAGGACAAGAGAAACTAAGCCGATCAAATGGTTACCTCTCAGAATTAGCTGCTGCTGCTTTTGTTTGCCGAGTAAGTTCCTGATAACACTAATCGAATTATTTTTTTACCATGCTTGGTCTTCTTAATGCTAACCTGCAACTGATGAATCTAGAAGATACAAAAGAAGTTTACAGATTATCTTGTAAACTCGCATCTCTTTGTTATTAATTTTCTTTTCTTTTTTTTGGTTTCCCACCCGGTGTCCGGAGCCCACATTGTAGCACCGACTAAATTCGGATCACGCATTGCAGGGCCCATTCAAGGGTGTCGCTCCCAACAAGATTTTCTCCATACCCAGGGTCAAACCCGAGACCTCTGGTTAAGGCTGATATGTGTGTTTCATGGATAGACAACTCGTTATTTTTACGCTAGTGATTGACTTTGTGCAGAATATTATTAATATCCACTCTCCTAGTGGTCTTCCATCTTAATTGCTTTAAATGTGGAATTTTTCATTATTAAGAATATTGTCACCTCACTTATTAGCGTGATATCTTTTTCTTGTCAAAACTCATTCAAATAATATATTTCTATTTCCATCAGGGAGGTGTTCAAAGAGTGCACCTGCTGGATGGCACTATTGGTGGAGTTTTACTAAAGGAATTGTTCCAAAGAGATGGAGTTGGGACAATGGTTGCTAGGTATGAACATTCTGAAGAATATTAGTTGTGATTACTGTTTCAAGATCTGTTAATTCAATTGCCAAATTTGGATCATTAGTCCTGGACTTGTCAGACTAATCCTCCTTGCTTTTATGCTTAAAATACGAGGGTTGGAAGCATAGCGTGCATGTAGAAAACCATGTTATTTCTTGGTCCAATTTCTCTGTCAAAAAGTGCTTAAAGTACTAAGAGTTGGAAGCTTATCGGGAATAAATAACTATTGTGCTATTGTTCAATCTGATTTGGACACTTATACTTCATACTTATCAGGAATTTCTATACAACTCAAAGATCTGGTCATCATCAATAAATTGGTTCAGAAATTAATGAAATGTTTAACCATCTCTCTTGTCTTTCCAAAAGAAACTTTATCCTCCTCTTACCTTTGATCAGCAGTATCTTAAAAACTGCACGACCAGTGAGAACCAGGATGTTATGACATTGAATATCAATACCTTCCAAAAGATTCCAGGATGTTATCTTAGTTTATGCTTATGTTAATCCCATCAGCTAACACGTGCATGAATCTGTGGTTCAGCGATCTTTATGAAGGAGCACGGATGGCCAGGGTGTCAGATGTTCCTGGAATAAAGCAGTTGTTACAACCGCTAGAAGAGTCTGGAACATTGATCAGAAGGACTGAGGAAGAGGTTACACCTAATGCTTGTCATTATTCAGATTTATCTAGTCAGCTTCTGTTTTATCTTTGTTGGCATATGTTTTTTTAACCATAATCTTTCATTGTTTAACTTGTTCTAGCTGGTGAAAGCACTGCACTCATTCATTATTGTGGAGAGAGAGGGCCATATTATAGCATGTGCAGCTCTCTTTCCTTACTTTGAAGAAAAATGTGGGGAGGTTGCTGCTATTGCTGTTTCTCCTGATTGTCGTGGCCAAGGACAGGGAGACAAGTTACTCGGTATGGTGACTCTTTTCTCATAATAGAACCATTTATTCTTCCACATTGAAGACATATGAGCACTTTCGACGATATTTTAGTTATCCTATTTAATCCATATTGGAATTGCAAGCACATTAGCAAGAGAGTACTAGTGTATGTGTGTCCCAAAGACCACTGCCTGGTCCATTATGGAATGAACTTATAACCATGGAATCTAACTCTATTATCAGATTATGAGCCTTTTTTGGCAAGCTTTTAAAAATTGCTTATTTTGAGAAACACTTTTGTCAAAATAGCTTTCCAGAGAATTATTTTTGGAGAGAAACAATTTGTGTTTGGCTAATTCATTTGAGAAGTGCTTCATATCGTATTCGATAAATGGATTTTGGACAATCTTTTTTAATAGTGATTTTGAGCATCCGTATTTACCAATAACTTTGTATTCCAAAATTTTGCAGATTATATTGAAAAGAAAGCATCTTCCCTTGGATTGCAAATGCTCTTCCTACTAACAACTCGCACAGCTGATTGGTACTCTCTTCTCACATTTCTACCTTTTATTCCCATGGCATTCAGTAGTTTACTGATAGTATCATACGTTCCTACTTTCAATTGAGCAAGTGAACATAGTTTTTCAAGTGGAGGTTTGGACACTTAACTAATTGGCAATTGCCCAATGACAGCTTAGAGTAATGTAAATAAAACAAATTTGTGATATTTAAGCTGAATTTGAGTATGTTTGACGTCTTAACAAGAAGAAAAATAGATTGAAAGACCATCATGGGTGTTTTAAATAAGACAGACACTTGCCTAAAAGAACGAAAAAAGTGCAAGGGCACTTTAAACAGCGCAAAATATGTGTTAGGCAACTACTTGGGACTTTTGTTACATTTACAGCCTATCTCCTGTATTCCTCCTCCTTTTTTGCTCAGAAGTAAAAAAGTATAGTTTTGGCTTCCTCATAGATTCTTGTTGAGTCTCCATAAAGTGTGCTCAAAAGTTACATCTCTTATAGACATTCGTTGTCTGTTATTCGTTATCCGAGAAGACAAGTTGTATGTTTCTAAGATGGAAAAGAAATCAAACTACACAGTGCTCATTGTTTAAATTAGAGGATAGCAACAATGTTGTTAAATCCAGACCGCTAAAGAAAAGAAAAACATGAACACTTGATTGATGCAAAAAGCTAACACAGGTCAGACCAAGAGGAGAAGAAGAGAGCTGGCTGTAACTTGATTCGCTTTGAATGCTTAGAAAAGTCAAAAGGCATTTAAGGGTTCTTCAAGTGATCAGTGAGCTTATTGGTCATGATATGTTGATAGTTCATAGATTATGCAGTTTTATATTTGAGAGATCAATCGCAGCCTGCTACTCCATAAAGTTTGAATTTTTTATTTCTGTCTTACCTCTTGCATCATTTAATTTATTGATCAAAGTTGTTCATTTTATTAATTCATATCTTTAGATACAAGGTTTGTAGTTGTTGCAAGACTTAGATAATGAGTATGTCTTCAATAAATGAACGTTGGATGAATCATATTCACCTTCCTCAACGTTACTACAAGTAGAAAACCACCTTCTTAATTCTTTAAGCTAGTCCAATATTTTATTGATGCCAAGATTATTATTTGTCACAGGTTTGTGAGGCGTGGGTTTTCCGAATGTTCCATTGATCATATACCAGAGGAAAGAAGGAAAAAGATCAATCTTGCCCGTAGATCAAAGTATTACATGAAGAAGCTGCTACCCGATAAAAGTGGTATACGTATCGATTGCACCTTTGCATAGGAATCAAAGGTTTTTCATCTGTCTGTGTACAAGCTCATATTTAGTGAAGTAGAAAATCAACCAATTGTTCCTGACAACTCAAGTCATTATATAAGGGGGAGATTGATCTTTGTTGTTACTGCCTGCTATTTTCTTTTGCGCGGTAGGTTTGGAAGAGAACTTTGATTACGATGTATGCTTAAATCTACGTCAATTAACGGATCTTTTCTTTTGTGGGTTCTTGGTCTAAATGTTTTGAAATAATGAGGAGAAATTCTTGATAGAAGTTTCATAAATATTATTCTAAATTCATTGGCTTCTCTCTACACCCTCCAGCTCTCTATCATACTACCCCCACTACCCATACATGTTCCATCTGATAGTGTTTTGTTAGATTACATGTGAATGCAATGAGAATAATATCTCTTTTTTTGTTACGTATCAAACACTAGAAAATAAAAAAGAGATTCACTAATTTTTCAAGAAAACATTTTTCTTCATACTCTAGACACCCTGATAGTGTGCTTGGGATCTTGGTTTTCTTCAATTCTTCAGGCACTTAACTTTTCCCCTATTTTTTTCACAAGATTTCCACTTGTATGCTTCGATAATTGGAAAAGTAAAATCAGTTTGGATGGCTAGATATACACAAACTTAGGAACGTAGTTTCAACAATTTCTAAATTTTTGGAAAATAAAAAATAAGCACACTCTTATTCTTTTTTTTCTCTTTATGATTTTGTCATTCACCACTCAAGCCTTTTAATCGATATGACAAGGGAAATTAGAACTAGTTTGAATTCGTGTCTCTATCTAGAGCGTCATATGATTAGTACACCAGAAAAAGTGTGGTTTCCTCGTACTTGAACAAGAAACAAACTCAACCAACAATCACACACTTCGTAAGAAATTTGTATTGGACACTCCACTGCACACTAATTTCTTTTGGAGAAAAAACAAGGCTACAAGTATTTTGACACACCATAATGTCCTACTAACCTCCAATAACCACTACAAAGTAGGATCAGGTATAACACCCGGAAATTGCTTCATAAAGGTTTTAAGACATTACATGTACTTGTGGATTTTTCATAAGTTTGATTTATTAAATCCTTCATGAAGGAAATCTGCCCAACTTTAGAGAAGGTGAAGAAAAAGAAAAAAAAATGCAAGGCATTGGGGTAGAACATCTACAAGCACCTCAAGTACTTGAATTGAAGTAGAAAATAAATTATTCTGCTGTCTTGGGAGGTCCCTTCCACTTGAAGTTGTCCGCATATGACTTGATCTGCAAAAAAACACGGCAGTTTATAAAGAAAGTTAAACGCAGATAACTAAAGGCCCTTTGTGTTAGGTTTTTGTTGTGTGTGTGTTAAACGAATATATACTATCCTTTGAGCCAGTCAATTATTTTTTTAAGAAAAACTTTGAAGTGCTTGTAGTTTAAAAGTTTTGATCAGTTCCTATGTGACAGCATTACATCAAACTAGAAAGTTTGTTGCCTTGGTATATCTGCAGATGTGAGAGGAATTTGGAATTGTGCGTGACCGAAAGGTCCTTTTTCAAAAATCAGGAAAACAATCTAGGCACCAAAAAAATCATAAGGTTATTGTATCTCCCTATACATGTGTCTACAGACAACTACTTCAATTTCCTAAGCAAACAAGGGAACAAGAGTTTTCACAATCCCAAGAGGAAATAAACCAGCCAAGATGTCTAAATCAGATTTTGTAGTATAGACTAACCTTTAACAATGGTGTGTGTCGTTTCTTAACCTGCAGATCCAAAAAAAAAAGGGTGTACCACATAAGCATCTTGTTGAAACCAAACACAAAAGGTGATTCTGTTTATTTCTTAACATAAACCAAAAATGTTTAGATTAAAGCTTGATGCTCCCACTTAGTGGTATTTCATTGGGAATGTTGTTGTTACTGTTGTAAAGCTTGATGCTGATAGCTAATGCAAGGCTCTGCGATAAAGCGAAAGGAAACTGCAAAATCTTGAATTTACATCTGGGTTTTTGGTTTTCTTGTTCGTGATATGAAACTTTACCTGTTTTTTGTCGATCTGTTAGAAATACTGAGATTTGTCTCAACCTATCAATATTCTAATACAGTAATACCAAATTGAAGTCAGACTTGAATATGTGAGGCATTAAATGATTATTTCACAGCACATAACTTGTCAGATTGAAAGGACGTTGGGCTTGCATAGAGGATTAAAAGGCTTGAATGGTCAGAGTTTTTAGAGGTGCCAAAACCTAAAATTACATACTAATTCATGCCTTTTCCTAACATGGAGTATTTCAAGAACTTGTTCATAATTGGGTGGAAAGGAGTCAGAGCTTTTAGGTGTCAAAACCGAAAATCCTAGACTAATTCAAATCTTCCCAGATATGGGGTATTTAAAGACCTTTGATTATAATCATGCAACAGGGAAGGGGGCAATCTCCACTCAACCCCCACCCTTCATGGCCCATGTTTCTAGTATAAGTTTCTTCTGTTAATTCCAGAATACTTGTGAGAAGTTGGAACCAACAAAGGTCATTAAGCTACCAAAAAACACAATAGAAGTGTAAGAAACTCAATGATGTACCGTATATTCCCAGCCATGCTTTTCAGCGAATGCTTTTGCAGCTTCTTCACTCTCAAAACTAAGTGCTGAATCACCAACATTGGCATATGGATCCCCTGTGGATGTCCACCCCATCAATGGATTCTCCCATCTACATAAAGAAGAAAGAAACATTTATCACCCTTATCATAAAACTTGGCAATATCTATAAGCTAAAGAAATTAGTTTTAGAACAATAACTTGCAACTAGCAAGAGTAAATCAAGACAGCATGTACAATTGATTAAGAAAAAGACAGGAATCTGAATGGCAGAATCCTATAAACAGGTAAAAGGAAATGGATTTTCGAACTTAAAAGATGGAAATACTACAACTCTAGTGATGCTACGTCGCCAAACAATCCACCTTAAAAACAAACTTTTATTCCTCAAATCTTAAAGATACAGGGAGTTGCAATCGGAAATTAGAACAAAATAGCTAATTTCATAAGTGGTCATCCAACTTCCAATTTATTGCACCAAAGTGATATAACTAACTGTTATAACATGAAAACTCCATTCGGCATATATAGGATATACTGTAGAAAATTAAAAAAGGCAAGAGATGCTCAAATAAGTCTGGAAACATAAGTACGTTGTCATTTCAGCAACTAATCTTACGTAATATCCATGTGACACCACTTACAAGAATATAAATCCATTTCCAAACCTAAAAAAATGATGTGTCACACAGTAAAGACGTCGGGTATTAGGTTGGATCGGAAAAATATTGTTGTTCATTTAAGTGGCGCCACGTAGATATTATCTAAGGTGAGTTGCTGACGTGGCTATACTTGTATGGAAATTTTATACATTTTAGGAACCTAATTGTGTTTTCTATGACCAGATTTTAGCATTATTATTGTTTTTTATTTAATGTGATATTTGGGCCTAGTTAGTGTCATTTTCCATTACAAAAATTATTTTTATAGCTTTGGTGCACTAAATTTTTAGTTGGATGACCATCCATGAAATTACCCAGGATAAAATAGTTTGATCCGCATAGAGGAGAGTATAAAGCTTTTACCATGGACATAAATTATGAGTGCTTCTCTCTCAGTATCTTCAGATATGAATATACATTTTTTTCATCACAATCAGCACAAATTTTTCTACTTAAGTAAGCTCGAAGAAACGCAGTCTGGCTAAGCTGAATTCAATGAATGGGGTTCTTACACTATTGAAGTTTAAAGTTAGTCAAGAATTGATCTTTACAGCATAGTAAGAACTCTGGACTCCTATTAGTAATTTCTTTTTGTGAACCCCGAGAGTTTTGGCTATGTCAAAACCAACACGCCTTCCTAATTACCTCCCTCCACGACCAAAAAACCCCATAATCAGAGGCACCAACATTGTATTAAATGATACTCCCTCAGTCCCATTTTATGCGGCACCCTTTCCTTTTTAGTTTGCCCCAAAAAGAATGTCACCTTACTATAATTGGAAACAATTTAATTTTAAAATTCCCTTTTTACCTTAATGAAATGATTTACAGCCACACAAATATTCAAGGATTGTTTTAGACCACCAGTTTCAAAAGTCTTCCCTTTTTTCTTAAGCACCGTACCAAGTCAAACGGCGCCACATAAAATGGTACAAAGGGAGAAGATAAAAAGGAGGACAATCACTGGAGAGTTTCCAAGGAATCCAAACAGGTGAAGACTATTTATGGTGGCATGGGCACAACAAAGGAAGATACAGGGTGAAGGAAGGATATAAACAAACAAGTCTTAGGGAGAATCAAGACTTCAAATGGCCTTGGAAGAAAATCTGGAGAGTCAAAGTGCCTCAAAAAGTGGCATGCTTCACCTGGCTGCTAGCCAATGAAGCAGTTCTGACATTGGACAATGTGGCCAAGAGAGGTATATCTCTATGCAACAGATGCTCCTTATGTGGTAAGGATACAGAGACAGTAAAACACCTCTTTCTACACTGCAATTTCACTGACCAACTGTGGCAGATTTTCCTTAATCTCAGAGGCATTTCCTGGAGTATGCCTAGCAAGATTGATGAGACTCTTTTCAGTTGGGAGGAGGCTGGAGTTGGGGCTACAAACAGAGAAAGATGGAGGATGATCCCTGCTTGTATATGGTGGACTATATGGAGAGAGAGAAATGATAGATGTTTTGAAAATAGGGACAACAACCTACAGGAAGTCAAGCTCAAATGTATTTTGCTGTTCTGTTTTTGGTGTATAAATGTCTACTCCAATGAGACTGAGTCAATCATAGATGTTTTAGGGTCCATCTAGTTCCTGGTTTAGCATTGGAAAGACTAATCTTTTTCTTCTTTTTTGTAAATATGGTTTTTCAGTACTACCTAAGTACTGACTGAAATACAAATGTTACTAGTGTCAAAAAAAAAAAGGAGGACAATCACGTCCACATCTCTATAATTATATGAACCACTAGAGGAAAATAAGTTCACAATCTCTTTAACCTTCACGACTAAGCACTGTACTCAATCACCAAACTACCTGTTGTGGTCCAAATTTCATAGTTAACATTGCATTTTGTGAATAGACACCTAGGCACAATGAAACTTATAGTCTGTACTTATCAAAACTTTCTTTCAGGTTTTCTCTCTGTTTCTTCTTGTTTACTTCAGGACGGAAGGATAAGGTAGATGAGTTTGTATATTGTAATTACTGTACAAAGTCCTGCAGGATTTTGTGCT